CTATTCTAACTACCCTTTAGCAATTCATGCATTTTCCTTCGGATTCAATCCTTATAATGATAAGTCATTTCTTGTCATCTTGCATTCAGGAGTTAAATAGTGCATTCCCCTAGTAAATTCACTTTATTTCTCCCATAACATATCTTGGTCACTAAGATAGTTGATCATTTTGTTTTTAGTATTTAATTTTGTTTGAATAGTTAGAGTTGCAACTTTGTGTTCTTCTCTTTGATAAATTGTTATGCTTAATGTATGTGTTAATTTGAATTATTCTTAAGTCCAAAAAGTGAATTTTCCTTAGAATATTAGTGAAGTAAAGGCTAGTTCAACCAGTCACATGTGGGGTGTCTAACACCTTCCCACATTGTACCTTAGTTCTCGAACTCCACAAATCTCTATCCCATTGGGTCTAAGAGTGACCAAGAAAAAAAAATTATTTTTTCTGAAAATTTTGGGATTTTCTAAGTTCCAATTTCCCAAAAATTTAGGTGGCATATTCCTTATTCCTTCGGGTTGGGTAGCCACAAGGTTAGGGTTTCAATCCTTCAACCCTAAGAAAATTTGGCTCCAACTGTCCAAACCTAGCAGTCATGAGACCCCTACATATTCCTATAATTTTTCACACCTAACCCCAAAACCTTAAATTTTAGATTTTACTTACACATTTCATTTTTATTTTTCTTCTTTTACTGTGGAGGAAGTGACATCTTAAAACACATAAACCAAAATTCAACTTAAATTAATAACTATGGGCTTTAAAAATATATTACAAAAAAACAATTGAAAGGCTACAAGTCGGGTCAGGTTAGTATTGAGTTGAACCCTATAGAGAGAGTCAAGTTGGGTTCAAAAAATTATTGTTATTTAATCGGTTTTGGGTTGAAGTGTTGTGGGTCAGGTTAGGGTTAAGGAAAACCTATGTCGAATTCAACTTATTGACATCAATAAGTAACCATATCTCCTCCAATAGATCAAAAACATATTTCCTTTGTAATAAAAAGATTCTCCACTTCAATTCCAAAAAAGTACTTCAAGCATCCCAAATCTTTGATTTGAAGCTTCTACTAAAGAAAATACTTCAATCCATTAATCTTCTACAAATCACTTTTTGTAATGACTATATTCAATATAACTCGCCTCATTTATTCTTGTTGCTTACATCTATGGGCCATGTCGGGTGACGAAAAGAATAGAGCTTGTTACTTACAAATTGGACCTACTGGAGACTTGTAGACCACGCCCAATATTCCATGTCCCATGCCTCAGGAAGAAATTAGGCAGGGGAACCAAGCAATTGTAGAAAATGGAAAGGAACTTCTCCTACAGATGCCATTTGGGACGACGGGGAGGAATTGCAGAAGAAACTTCCTAAAGCAAACCATGAGTATAAGTTCTTAACTGAGGAGGGTGGATGATACATATACCCACCAACCCATCACCCAAGCCTGCATTCATACCTCACTCCAGCATGCAAGGAGAGTCATCGATGCACATGAATTGCATGCAACAGTTATTTGGCAGTAACTGTAATCATGGGTATGGTACAGTAAGAGAATATCGTTGTAACGGCCTGCCCTCACTTTAAATATCTATACCTCTCATTATTGGCCATCAAGTGAACAATCTATTTTCTTACCCTAATCATCTGCATCCTTTTTGAGCGTTGAAAACCATCTTACAATTTTGTGTCTCAAAAATCAATGTCAGATCTCAGTTGATGATTTCGTGTCTCAAGAATCAATGTCAGATCCCATGGAGATTGAAGACCATTCTAGAGGAATGTTAAAGGCTGGTCGAGACTTTGGAGCTTGGTGTGGAGTACAAGATGAGAATGGATAGGAAAGGATGGGATGGGATGGGATGGGATGGGATGAGATGAAAAAGGGAAAATTGGTGGAATTTTTTTATGTTCCATTGTTTTGTTGTAAAAGGGAAAAATAGTGGGAAAACCAACCCTAGTAATAATTATTAATTAATTAGTTATTTTTATCACTTTATATTTTATTGCTATCAATTATTAATATTTTAATTAAATAATTTTTAATTGATTAATATTGATAACTATTTAATTAATTATTAATTAAGAATTAATATTTTAAAATTTTATTTTATTAATATTTACTATGAATTAATCAATAATTTTTCATTTTTATTTTTAATTACTTAGCATTGTTATTATTTATTTATTTTTATTTTACCATTGATCAAATTAATAATAAAATTCATATTTTTTATTAATTAATTAATTATTATCATTAATTAGTATTTTTCTTTTTATTAGTTTATAGGTTATTATTAATATTATATTTTATTAATACATATAACTTTATTAATACTTTTCATATTTTTTATATTAATTATTCATAAATTATTAAATTATTTTCATTGGTTAATTATTTATTTTAATTAAATTATTACTTATAAAATAATATTCAATTATTCATTAATTAGTTGATTAATTAATTAGTTATTAAATATTTTTTGTCAATTATTAATTAAATAGTAATATTTTTATGATTTAGTATTTTATTGTTCATTATTAATTTGATAATAATTATTTAATTAATTATTAGCATTAGTTGATATTTTAATTTTTATTAATTTATATTTTATTATTAATATTTTATTTTATTAATACTTATGACTTAATTAGTAATTTTAATATTTCATTCTGAAAAAGTAAGTAATTATTTAATTATATTTTCATTGATTAATATATTTATCAATTATTTATTTTAAGTTATTTATTAATTGTTTTAATTAAATTATTCTATTAATATATTATTAAATCATTAATAATTCATTTATGGGTCATCGATCTAGTATTAACTCTTAGAAGTACTACAAAGAAGATGTTTTTTTTTTTTTGTTAAACAAGTTTCCCCCTACATTCCTACTTATTTTCCACCAAAATGGTGGGATTCCACATCCCAAGAATTGGGATCTATAATCCTACCATCTCATCACATCCCACCAATCAAACATGGGAAGTGAGGAATATTCCATATTTTTCCTTCCCATCCCACAAACCAAAAGAGCCTTGGGAAGCAAATCAAGGTGCAGATTGGTTGGCACATGAAGCTTTGTCAAATAGATGGAATCATCTCCCGTTTTATCCCATGCCCTTCCTAGTGAGTTTGTTTTCAGTTGTTTGTGTGATGTTTGGGGTAGAGCTTCCCCGTCTTAAGGCTGCAACTTGGGCCGGGTTGGCCCGAACCCAACCCTTGGGTTGGGTCAGGTTGATGTTCGGGTTAGGGTTAGGGTTGAAATTCATGAACCTGACTTTACTTCGGGTTGGGTTAGGGTTGGTCCCTTAGCCAACCCGACTCTATAGTACATACATTGATTTGTTGAGATGCATGATATTTGTATAGCCCCCACCACATAGTATCATGTATTTCTTTTAAGATAATCACTTCACTTAATCCTAACCAGAAAGACTAAAACCTTAATAACATTATTTTATTTTTTTTGAAAAATTTATTCTTCATCTCCTCTATGTTGTTTGCCACCCAAGAAAGACTTATCGTAAGTCATAACTCATAATAAACTATGGTCATTTCTAACACTTGTTTTTTTGAATTTTGTACTAAAAGAACAAAAAAAAAATAGCGTCAACAAACAAATACTAATGAAATATGGGATTAATATATGTAGTGAAAGTTGAATTAAGATCTAAAATCGAGAAATTCTATGAGGTTTTAAAGGAATTTAGTTAGGGTTGAAGGAATTTAGTTAGGGTTAGGGTTAGGGTTGGGTTGGTCGGGTTGAAGGTCCGGTTGGGTTAGGGTTAAGGTTTAGAACTTAGGGTTAGGCTAGGATTAGCGTCAACCTGGCCCGATTTGCAGCCCTACCCCGTCTTGTATAACTCCTTCTATTTTTACCAATAAAAAGAAAACCACCATGGCCCAAAGGCAGAAAAAGGTTTTTTATGGGCTATGGGAAGAAGTTGATATCAATTTAACACCGCATATCGCACCATGACCACCATGCATGAGATGCGGTGTAAGTGTACTAGCATGGGCAGAGCCAAATATATTGATAGGGGATCCTTTGTTCCCCCAAACTTTTTGTTAAAACCATTATTTATATGATTAAAGTGGAGACAAGGTAAAAAAATGTAATAAAGTGGGTCCTTTATCCCCCCAAAACTTGAACTATCACTTTCTAACACTCCTTCAACTCCCAAATTTTAATAGTAAAAAAAAAATGTATATTTTTCTTTAAAAAAATATATGTAATAGATCTAAACCTTTTGAAGTCATTTTTCTCAAAACCTTACCTCTTCTACTCCCAATCTCATTTTCTTATTTAACTAGGCCCTCTAAAAAAAAATCCTGATATTAGAATCTCATATCTCCTACCCACATCTACCACAAGACACAAGATCTCCTACCCACATCTTACCATTAATGAGGAGATGTTCCCAATGTATAGCCATTGTGTGTGTGGGTAGGAGATCCAGATTCGTGTATTGGAACGTATTTGTCGGGAGCAGATCCGGTTCAACTAATAGTAATAGGATCGAAAGACAAATCCCTTCTAGTTCAAACGCAGTGGATCTGAAATGATATTTAGGCCAAGTGAGTCCGTTTAATTACGGGGTCCCCCACATGAGATCAAACTTTCTAGCAAGGATAAAAGCCCAACCTCATCTGATGGCTCCACTGTTAAGTTAAACGTCTAAGATGTTGCCGTTTCCGACCGTTTCTACCTTAAAACGGTCTAGCCAACTGTGTTTTTTGACCGTTGAAGTAGAATCGCCTACGTGGCGTCTAGTGGACCCGAAACGGCAGTTCAACACCGTTGAAGTGTTTCCGTAAATTACCATATCGCCCAACACGGCGGGGAACTCCTATCAAACAATTGAATTGGTACCACATGCGACGGATAGAAAATTAATAAACTATAGATTCCAATCCAACAAAGAAAAAAGGCGCCAGCTCAATTAAAACATTTCTTAAATTGCCCGAAAAAGGAGATGAATTTACGAAACTTACCCTCCTGGCGGAAAATGCCCACCCTCTTCTGCTTTCCGAAGCACAGGTACCCTCTCCGATCGTCCCATGCGAAAACAGTCGCCCCCTTCGACTTCGGTATCACCATGACTGCTTCTAGATTCGGAATCCTGTGAATAGCAATAGAATCCGATAACGAAATCAGAATGTTTCTCGACACAGACACCTCCATTGAAATTGCATGCTTCTTCCAGAATCCCATAACAGCCTTCTCCAGAACGTAGGGCTCACGGAGAATTCCCGCTTTACCACGATCAGGCGGCGAAGAGTGCCCGTCGGACGAAGTTGAGGATTCTGGAGCATAGATTCTTATAGAGCCGTCGGTGCAGCTGAGGAGGAGCTTTGAACCGTACGACGCAGCGCATTCGATCTTCGCTGGGCAGTTTCTAAGTAACTGAAACGAATCGAAGGCGTTGTGCACCATTCTCTCTCCTCCCTCCCTCTCTAGATTCTATGAAGTGTGAAGTCTGAACCAAAAAATGGAGGGAGCATATTAAAGGATGAAATAAGAAACAGGAAAATGCTAAAGTGCGCATGGTGCGTTCTTCTTTTTTTTTTTTCTTTTGGATTGCGTTCTTGATTTCTTTCTCGTAGGAAAGAAATGAAATGAATCTGATTTGTACGCCGGGTAAAAGACGAACCATTGGACGGGTCCCACTCAGCTAAGAACAGCAAGTAGAAGCTGAAAGAGCAAGTAGCGATAGGAAAGGGACACATGCATACCGACGTTGCCTTTCTGTGCATCTGTCATGAATATACCTGTTCATGGGCCGAGTAGCCCGACGGGCCGGCCCGGCCCAACCCGATTTAAGTCGGGCTTGGACAAGATTTCAGGCCTGCATGTTTGGGTGTTTGGGTTTGGGCTTTCTCAAAAAAGCTCGACCCGAGCCCAATTCCGACTTAATAATGTATTATATTAATAAAAATACATTTTATATAAAAAATTTTCTTTTCCTTTTTCAAGTAATAATGAGACTTTTTCATTATTTTTTTTAGGTTTTAAGGTATTTTAGTATAAATAAAACAACTTTTAATTGAATTAAAAAGGAAAAAAATATTTTTTCCAAATTTCTAACTAGACTCAAGTTTGAGCCCGGGCTTTAGACTTTATATGAGGATCGAGCTTGGGCTCAAGACCTAGACCCGATGGTCGGGCCGGGATCGGCTTGGGCCTGAACATATTCTGTTAATGTAGAGGCAAAGCTAGCCCCAACCTAACCCATGAACAAGTATTAGACCTATTCATGGGCCGGGCCGGGCCGGGCTTTAAGTGTGTATTAACAAATTTTTTTAAGGCCCGAGCCCGGCCCGACCATCGGGCCTACAACTTGGGCCCGAGCCCGGCCCGACCATCGGGCCTACAACTTGGGCCCGAGCCCGGCCCTCATAAAAAGCCCGAAGCCCGAGCCTAGGCCCGGGCCCGAAATTTAGCCTATACTATTATTATTACTAATGTTGAAGCAGCTGAATAGAGAGAGAGAGATTGAGATTATAAAGAGAAGAATAATATATATATATATTAAATTATAAATATATATTTTAATAAATATTATATTATTTATATATTTTATATAATATATAAAATACATATTATATATTTTATAAAATATATAATACTGAGTCGGGCCGGGCCGGGCTTTTTTGACAAATCCCGAGCCCGGCCCAAAACACAGTCAGGCTTACTGTGTTAAGCCCGAGGTCAGGCCCGCGGGCTTAATTATATGATCAAGCCCGGCCAGGGTGTGGGCCGGCCCAGGCCGGGCCGTCGAGCTACCCGGCCCATGAACAGGTTTAACAAGTATATGACGTCATGGCTCATGAGTTATATGGGAGTCCTATATGACCCATAATTGAGGCTGCTCACACCATTTTAACCCACCACGATCTTGGTGGTATTATTGGTGTTTCAAATTTTCAATAAAATGTTTATCCGTACTTAAATTATGTTTGCCATATATATGAAGTCTTGGACCTTGTGGTGTTGTGAGCAAGGTTCAAAATTTCAACATGTATTCAATATGTATTGTTTTTGGGGTTTCTTGATACATTTCTATAGAGGGTGTTTTAGGGTTTAAGCTGGTTCAAGGGGTAGAAAGGCCTTAAATCAATCCCTCTGAATTAATTGTAAAAGAAAAACTAAAATAAAATAAAAGCGAGCCACGATACATTACAATACACTAATAGTATTGGCTTGTATCAATATTTTGAACCTTGTCGTATGTTAAACAAGATCCAATATTCAAGAGGAAAAATTAGTATCATATTTCCCACCAATATTACTTCCAATTCTTCTCTTTGCCTCTAATTAAGCATGTAAATCTTTGATCTCTTGAAAAGACCATATAATTTTTTTGGTTACTTTCTAATGGTCTATATTAAGATTCTTTTGATATCTTCCTAACATGTCAACAACATCCGCTATATTTGGATTAAGTGAATCATATATACGACTTATCACTAATGATGCATAGGAAATGTTATTCATTTGTTCCTATTCCAATTAGTTCTTAGAGCATTGAAATAAACTGAATGAATAAGTGCATACATCAGTATATATAAGATTTCTCATGACTGATACATAGGAAATGTTGTTCATTTGTCCTATTCCAAATTAGTTTTTAGAGCATTAAAATAGACTAAATTTATCTCCTTTTACCGCAGGGGTATATGTAGTTTGTCTAAGAAGCATTTCAACAACATTTACCATATTTGGATAAGTGCATGCATCACCATATATGAGACTTATCACTACTTATGCATAGGAAATATTATTCATTTGTCATATTCCTATTAGTTCTTAGAGCATTAAAATCCTATTACTTCTTAGAGCATTAAAATAAACTGAGTTTATCTCCTTTTACCACAGGGGAATAGTACTAGAAGAATTTTGCATGTTAAATCTTTTGAGCACATTTTCTAGATATGCCTTTTAAGAAAAAACCATAATACTAAAGGGTTGATCTCTATAAATCTAAATGCTTAAATTATAAGAGGCTTCACTAAGGTCTTTCATATCAAAATTATTTAATAAAAATCTTTTGGTCTCGTATAATATTCTAAGATTGTTACTAACAAGTAATATATCATCATCATACAGGATCAAGATGATATAACTACTCCTGCCAAACTTCACGTACATATTTATTGGTCAACAATGTTTTCCTTAAATTTATAATTGGACAAAGCATTATACTTAAAGCACTACTAGTCTATAATTTACTTCAAAACCTTTCAGTTACTGCATGTAGATTTCCTTATACAAGTCTCTGGTTAGAAATGTTGTCTTGGCATCCATCTTATACAATTCTAGATCAAAATGAGAAACTAGGGTCATGATTGTCCTAAATTATTCCTTTTTTATACTAGAGATAAAACCCGTAGTTCATTCCTTCCTTTTGAATGCATCCTTTTAGAATAAGTTGGGCCTTACATCTTTCAATGTTTGTCTTACAGCCTGTTCGTTTGCTCTGAAGCCTGACATCTAGAAGTGTAATAATTACATTAAGAGATATATTGGTATTGGTGAACTTTTCTTTCCTTTGAACTCTGAATATAGAGAATATTGTTTTGAATTCTGAAAACTATTAAATATCTATTTTGATCCCATATATGAGAGTTTTTGTTTCTTTTTGAGGGTATCATTGGAAAACAAAAAGTTGTCATTGCACTTTAAGAGATAAGAGATAAGAGAAAACAAACAACCAATTTTCTCTTAAAATTAAAAGATTCCTCTTAAGAGATAAAAGTTAAGAGGAAACGAACAGGCCCTTAGTCTTGTTTTGTCACGTCCAAGGGATTGGTTGTTTGTTTTCTCTTATCTCTTATCTAAGGGCCTGTTCTCTTATCCCTTATCTAAGGGCCTTGTCACGTCCAAGGGATCAAGTCACCTCTTATTTTGGTGACTTGCTTCAAATCTTAAGTTATATTTTTTAATTTATATTTAAAAGGAGAAATAAATGGCATCAATAAACTAAAAAGCTGGTAAAACACAATTATTAGTGCAATTACTAATACAATTTGAATTTCACAAGAAAGACCACTGCACATGCCATACGAGGCTGATACAATCGATATTTCGCAGCACTAGTGTACCTGTGTCACGTATCGTTTCATTAAGGTACCATATTTAAAACTTTGGGGTGAGAGGATCCCATGCCTTTAACCCCTAGAGGGATCAAAAACCCATCTCGAGTACAATTGATTAATAGCGAAAAACTCGCAGAGTTGCATTCAAAAATCATCTACCACCAAGATTAAGGTCTAGTAAAAAATACACTCACAATTCACCTCTTTTTGTTGGCGATCCACAACTCACCATATTACTTGATCCCTTGGACGTGACAAGTGATTATTCAGCAAATGCAAACCATAAAGAGTACCTTGGAGACATTTGGCGAAGTAAAACTTGTATATATTCTGAACCTTCGATTTCTGTGATTCTCTTCAATGCTACTTTCCATCTCCACGGTTCCACCTCAGAGGTTCTATCAACGAAGGTTAATGAAGCTCCAATTTCACAACTTGATTTAAAACGGATAAGATTCTTCTAAAAGATCTTTCCATAGTTCCATCTGTGATCCGAGAGAATTGCCACGCTATTCACAACAAATTGCATGTTCAGGTTTACCAAATCCAAAGCCGGATTTGAGATTTGAGGCATCGGTGAACCTAAATAATCAATAATCAGTTTCCAACGTTCTAAAAATTGGTCCAATTTCAAAATGAAAAGTCCTCTCTAATCTAATGGAACGGCGTGTTGGTTCAACCAAAGGATTTTGGAAATAAATGATCCAGTAATTAAAAAAAGCATATTACAAATTTTTGCAAGGCGACGCTGCTTTGACTTGCAATTTGAAGAAAAACATAATCAACAAGACAATCTTCTCCCTTGTATTAGAATCTGTCTAGACATTCAACATTAAATCAGCAGCATACATTTGAAGAAGCTTTCATCTTGTAGTGTATTCCACCGTCCACATTCCTTCACACTGAAGACCGAGAAGTGAGAACAATCTCTTTCTTTCTTGCAAATTCGAACTCTACCAGGATGGGTTCAATCTATACAAAGCAACGGCAGAGTTGTTTCTCACCTCTGTACAGGTAGATTACTCTTTCTCAACCAACGGCAAGATCACAATCATTTGCTAGCATCATCGCCCCAAACACTGTCCCATGAGCCACTAGGAGCAGCTTTCGGTCCCTCAATGTAATTCTGACCACCTTGGGGATTGTGTGGGCCTGGGAGTCCATCGGGACCAGGAATATGACCTTTCCTAGGCTTTCTTCTGATTCCCAGCAGTCTCAATACAAACCTAGCAAGCTCCCCATATAGCACTCCGGAACGATCAAACAGCTGCAAAAACATAAAAAAGAATTATGAAAGTCGACATATTCCAGAGCATGATCAAGATGAAGAGAGAGGTCACTGCATCAGCTTGACGAGGTTTGTGCATTCTACAAGCAGGGATGAATGCCCCCCAACTCAACTCTATTGCATGCAATAGATTGGAAATACAAGAGTTAAAAGTACAAGGAAGCACCTGAAGAAGTGCAGATATAAACATGTGAAAGGCCTGCGTATTCTGGTCTACGAGAATTGAAATCCGACCAAAAAAGGTTACCACACCTTGCATCTGCCAAAGGAAAATCGTTGTTAAATATGCTGATAATTAAAAGGATATCATGATATGCTGATAAAAGAAGATCATGATATGGCATTCATTGGGTTGTAAGAGCAATCCGACACAAACTAAACAATTATGGATCAACTCGGTGAATTTGATGACCAGGAGTCATGTTGAAGCTATACCTATATCCCTGTAGTAGAATGAACTTCGATATCAAAAATGTATTTTACCAAGGTATCAGACAATTTAAAGGGTGGTTCTATTTCTATGATGCAGTGCCAACAAACCATTGACTCAAGTGACTTAAAAAAGGGCAGCCCAGTGCACGAGGCTCCCACCACTGTGGGGCCTGGGGATAGATGTACACAGCCTTAAAGATGCATAAGATGAAAGCAGCCAAGAAATCTAAACGGACAATTTCATGTGATCTAATCTGTATGTTTGAGCAACAGCTGCCAAGAAGTGATTGAATGATCTGAACATTTCATAGGTGTATGGTCTACCATCAAGAAGATGATGAAACTTTCCTGCCCATTTTTCCATCACTTTTATCAACAAGCATCAATTGATGTACAATATCGGTCCATAGAGGGAAGTGTGTCCAAAGAGGATGGCACAAAAAAACGTATGGTATGGAAGAAAAAATAAAAAAGCCAAAAATAACATGAAAGCAAGCTATCACTATACAACCCATCAAAAATCTGATGTTGGTATATATATATATATATGGAAACCCTCGAGAACTCAAAAGTAATGCTATTCCCAGTCATTGCAAAATGATTTAAGTTTAGCTGTCGAAAAACTTTTTAGCTGGAAGACCAAAAGTAGACAAGAAGTAACAGCATTCACCAAACATCTATGACAATTTAATTTTCTCTTTTATTCATTTCCTTCCATGCACACCAGCATAATTCTTAATGAGACCCTTAGCAGGATACAAGAAAATTGTACCTGGGGTAACCCATTGTTTCCCAAATAGAACAACAAAGTGTAACCAAATCTCTTGGGTGAAAGTGTAGTAGATGAGATGAGCAATTGATGACTCATCTTTCATGTCAAAAAGGAAGCATACTATATATTTTGGATATCTACGATGGTTTGCAATTACAATATCGATGAACATTTAGCCATGTAGAGAAGGAGAAATTTCGGATATACTTCACTAACTTCACTAAGATACTTGGAAAACCTAAAGAACCAAGAAAGTTTCCTAGAAACATGGAATTAGTTGATAAACAAAGAAATATAATTGAAAAGGCATTAAAAAAAACATAGCAAAGAACTTTATAAATTAAATAGGAGAGACTTTAATGGGCATCTTTCTCTGTCCCCCTTTTAGTCTTTTAGTCATATATCTTCTCAATATTAAATATGTCATTTATTTGTCATTTTGTCCTTTGTCCTTTCTTGTATTATATGTTCTGATTGGATTGAAAATACTCTTTTGTAGTTATATGCATTTTTCTTTTTCTTTTGAATTATAGTGACTTTGTAAGTGAATCATATCAAAATAGCAAGCCAATTATTCAGTCACTAATTCCCCCATTGGTTCCTTAGGAAAACATTTTTAAAAAGTTATGATGATTTTAATGAAAATATCGGAATACTTTTAATAATATTCTAAAATTTTAAACCTTAAATATTATCTGTCAATGAAATCTGAAGTACTGCTGACCTATCGGCAAAATATCAAAGATACTTGGGGAAAAAAAGTTCTGGTAAAATTTTGTATCACCCCCTAGAAAAATGGGGATATTTCGGGGAAATTTTGCTAAATATTGCTGATATTGCAAACCATGATCTCTATGCCGAGCTCGAGCCTAATAAAGCTCGGCTCATGAGGCTTGCGAGCCGAGCTCGAATAGCTATAATAATATATAATAAAAAAATTATATATAATATTTTTATTTTTATATATAATAACTAATTATTATATATAATATTTTTATATAATAAAAATCTTATATAATATTTTTATTTAATAACTAATTATTATAATTCTTAATTTTTTAAATATCAAATAAAAAATATTTTTTATATATAATTTTTTATTTTTATAAAACATTTTTCTCAAGTTGAGCTCGAGCCGAGCCAAGCTTGAGCTTACAAATTTTTGACTCGAGTTGAGCTCGAGCTCAAGGTTCTAGCTTGAACCGAGCTCAAGCTCAAGGTTCTAGCTCGAACCGAGCTCGAGCCTCTTACTATTCGGCTCTGCTTGGCTCGAATCCACCCCTAATCCTAGGAAACAATGATCAATGGTCAGGATCTTGTCAAGATAGTCATCAACATTTTAGAGGTGTTTGACAACCACAATGAAAGAATATCAGGTCCATTTATAAGAGTGAGAAAGAGAGTTAAAAGAACTAGAAAGGAAACCTATAGAAAGAAAATTTCTCTATATCTATCTCTTTGTGATCATTCACATGCACGCATTCTGACAAGGCCAACATGAACATAAAAAACAACCAGAAAATGCATACAACAGGAAACTCTAAGCGTCCAAAAGACAGCTTACAACAAGAGAATAAGAATAAAGGAAAAAAAAATGGGAAAAGGAAAACATAACAAGAAATGGTAGGGTAATTCACATAAAAGCATGCTTGTAAAAATGCCTCTCCCTGACAGAACCTTAAGACAGATGATGCCCTTAATCACACAATCATCAGCACCCAGTCAGAAAGTCAAAACTTTGCAGTGGTAAATGGATCACTACAGGTCCAAATAGAGAAAACCATGAATTGGTACTCTGTTTGCCATGCACAAAACAATAAAACATTTAAAATATATGGAAGACTAACACAAGAAAGCAACAACATGACTTAGATTAACATTACAGCTATATTGCATAATCTGTAAAAAAGAAACACCTATGTTGCAAACAAAGGGAAATGATAAACTATAATATGTCTACAATGAACTGCATATAAAATGTCTTTGACTTGATCATTTGATGATACATTTTTATGGAATTCTGATTTCTGAAGCCAATTAAGAAGAATATGCAGTTCAACAAGAAAGATCAAATATAACAATAAGATATGGAGGGATTATATGCCTTACCACACGAAGAAATGAAATCCAAAATCCTGGCGGTGATGGAGGAGCACCAAAAGGATTATTTGGATCTTGTTCACCATATGGACCTCCCATGCCCATCCCATAACCACCTACCGGACCCCCAAAGCCACCATTGTACATTCCACCTCCATACATTCCAGAACCACCATATAGCCCACCATATCCTCCTCTATAAATAGGGTTGCCATACATCCCACCACCATAGGTTCCCCCATATCCACCATAGGAACCATACATTCCAGATCCAGAGCCTGAGTTATAATTCATACCTGGAAGGAAAGTTGAGTCCATAAGCTTCATAATGAAAAGAAAATAATCTATTGCTCTAAGATTATAACCAGCAATTACCTCCATAGTTGCTTCCATAGTTCTGCTCCCAGGGCCTGGTAGGTACAGGCCTACCTAGAGTATTTCTATTTACAGTTGTATTTCTATCAGCAGTTGAAACAATTTCTCCAGGTTTGGAAGTTCCTGCACCTTCAACTACTTCACTTGTACTTCCAGGTGATGGGGGTTTAAAAGGCGCAGGCCCAGATGAGGTCCCTGCTCGCTCCCAAGGTTTTGGTGGAGGGCTGTTAGCTGCAGTTGCATAACCAAGTTCCAAATACAAATAACAGAAAATGAGTTATATCCCCTTCTGATATTAGAGCGAAATAGCAATAGTCTTATAAAACAACCATCAGAATAATAACCAAGAAAAGTTCAGAAATAGCAACTTATCCATGTGTGACAGTGAGGTCCATCAGGGATCCGACTTGGACTAAGCTGAACCCAACCCAACCAATCAGACAGAACAGTAAGTCATTTTGTGGTATCATATACAAACCTTGGGTTTTACCCAGGATTCCAAATCACAACCCAGCCATAGTTGGACTTATCATCCATTGAAAAAAAGAGGTCTAACAGGTGCATGGGCAGTTCTACCAAATGGCATAATATGTAAACAAACCACATCATACAGATTATCAATGGGCATATTAAAAATATAAACCACAAAAGCTTTTTGTTAAATCAATTTTAAAATAAGTCAGAAAAAAGTCTCACGATACTCGTATTAAAAACTACTCACTTATCTAAAATTGTGAGCCAGGTTTGACAAGATCTACATGGCATGGTCTTGGAATAGCCTCTTCATCGATTCTAAGTCTAGGCCAGGTTATAGATTTAAATGGCTTGATCCAGGGTGTGAACTTGGGTTGCTTCATGAAACCTGCTTGAGTTTCATGTCTCCAAGTAGTCCAGATAAAATGGGCAACTAAGGAATTTTAGTCCCTACCATCCAGGGTCTTGTTAGGGGTGGGCTTCAAACTGACCTAACCTTTGGCATTTTTGCACAAAGTGGCTGCTCTCAGGCTCAAACCTGCATTCTCACACATGTCAGCCACTCAGCCCAAAAATAGAATTCTTTTTCTTTTGGGAAAAGGTAAAGTATATTGCAGTATAATAAAAAAAGGTCCTTTGTACAATGAGATGCTGTACATATACATTCCATTTTGGTTGTATTTAGACAACCAAATCCTAAGTTCCTCTACTACCAAATTAATCACACCTCCTTTAGAGGTTGGTTTCTGTTCAACAATTCTGGTATCCCTTTAATCATACGAGTCCGGATCTCCTGCCCACATTTATCGCAGCCATACTTGGAGAGCATCTCATCCTCTGCATAGTATTATGCAGGGGAGATGTTCCCAATTCATGGGGGGTAGTGTTTTGTGGGTAGGCGTGGGCAGAGTTCTCATGGGCAGGAGATCCCGACTCTAATCATACCCGATGGCCAACATAATCACAACTAGAATAGTTAACCAGCAGACTTTTCCTTTCTTGGACATACCCAAGACCTGGTATCCCATGTTCCCCATGAAACCAAGCATTACAAAGTCATATGTACTACAAACCATATGAGAAATTCCCTTCAACCCCAGACTTAGCAAAGAGTCCGGATCTGCTTACCACAACATATTGCTGGCTACATCACCCAGCCACACATATGGAACATCAATTGTGTTGTGGTCATCGATACTCTCAATGTGCAGTTGGATAAGAGTGGCCACTAATGTGTTGTAGTCAGCAGATCCAAACACCTTGGCAAGATCATCAACTAGCCTATTCGCACCCTCAGGTTTGACTCCCTGTTCTTGAATTTTAACCAAAAAAATCCACTTCAGTGTATGTTAAAATGCTAGAATCACCCCCAGAGAGAGGGTGATTAAAGATCCAAAAAAAGACCCTAATCTTCAACCTCCAATGAGAGATACAAGGTACAGTATTGGAAACACAAAGTGTATTGGAAAGGCAATTTTAAGAGATGTATCAAGACACGCTTTGGGTACACATGGACATGAACAAAAAATCAAGATGCACATGGATACACTAGGAAACTCAAATAAATCCTACAAAATATATTACTAACAGTAAACACAAGCTTCAATCTTATAAAAAAAAACATAAGCTTCAAATGACTAAAAATAAGTTATTTAAACATAAAAATTCATACTTCAATGATTTATATAAACTATAAAGTGTGAAATATCGGGAAACAATTGGTAACCGTTGAAAAATGATGGAAGAACTAAAATGTGTACACCTTAATCTTTAGAAAATCAGTATAATTTGTCTTCATATTTATTAATATATAAATTTTAATTTCGATCAAGAGAGAAGAAGAAGAAGAAGAAGAAGAAGAAGAAGAAGAAGAGAAGGAAGAGAAGAGAAGATTGAGATCAAAGTATAGTTGGCGGTGCCAGACCTTGTATTTATATGTTAAGGCAACAACATAAGAAATAAAAATAAAAGAAAAGACAAAAGTGCCCTTGCGGCACATAACTAAGATTACATCACTCCCCCTCAAGTTGGGGCGTAGATATCAATCATCCCCAACTTATCACAAAGATTATAATGCCGTATGGAGTTTAATCCTTTGGTAAGGATGTCTGCAAATTATTCCTCAAAGCTGATGTAGGGAGTGCAAACTTCTCATTTGTCCAATTTTTCCCTGATGAAGTGTTTGTCAACCTCTATATGTTTAGTTCTATCATGGAGAACAACATTGACTGCAATGTTGATGGCTCCCTTATTGTCACAATCGAATGACAAAGGGTCACTGAAAGGAAAGTCCAATTCACCCAAGAGATCCTTTATCCATAGAAGTTCTGCCACACCATGAGACATGGCCCTGTATTCAGCTTTTGCACTCGATTTGGCCACCACACTTTGTTTCTTACTCCTCTGTTGGTGTGAAAATTTTAATAAATTCTCATGCAACATAATTCACTCAATCGAGTGATTGAGTTTTTATTATTTTGGGTAAGGCCCATTCAGGGAATCATACTGATTGTTCCCCTTAATTACATCCCCACAAGAAAGTAGAGAACACCTTTTGATTCTGACTTGGAGAAATGAACGCATAGAACAAAAGAAAAGAACAATAGGATACTTGAAAAGAACTTTTCATTTGCTTTTCTTTTACATTAGGTGTACAAGAATGAGAAGAAAGAAAAAGAAAATACAATTGAGAAACCATACAGCAATACATTTCTCTTTTCTTTAATACAAAGATAATCTCCTTCTCACTCCTTTCTTCATAATAACTTGTAGTCAATCAGATGGAATTCTGATTGTAGACAGCCTTATTCCTTGGAATTTTGCATACAAAAAGGGAACCGTAGTCAATCAAATTGAATATTTGATTGTAGACGTTTTTCATCCCTCTGCTCTTCATTTTCATTTGAAGGGAACCATGGTCAACCTTTGAGATTTAGACTACAGATGGTTTACTCCCTAACTTTGTCTTGAAAGAGGGACCATAATCAACCAAGTAGAAGCACCTGGTTGTAGATGGTTTATTTCCCCCTACTCTTCATTTTCATTTGAAGGGAACCATAATCAGCCTTTGAGATTTAGATCGTAGATGGTTTAATCCCTAACTTTGTCTTGAAAGAAGGACCATAATCAACCAAGTAAAGGCACCTAATTGTAGATGGTTTATTTCCCTCTTTTTCCTTTATCAAAAGTAAAAACAAAAGAGAGAGAGAGAGAAGGATACGTAGCAGCACATAAATAAGAAGTATTCACAGAGAGGACTTTCCTTTTTACTACCTGTATTAGTGAGACTTTTCCTTCATTGCCTTCCCTTGAGCACTTCTTTTTTCTTCTCTCCTTATCTTTGCTTTTCTTAAAAATTTCTTGTGAAAATTTTCTCCGAAGAGTCTCTTCGTGTGTATGTGTTTCTAGCTTCCTCTTAAGGAGCTTAAATAGGGAGTGGGGTGGTTATGTAACTACCCTCTCCTCCTAGGTGAAGGACACCTGTCCCTCCCACTTTAAGAGAGGGAGCTCCCCACTTAAAGAGAGAGAACTCCCCACTTAAGAGGGGGAACTCCCATACGGGATACTTTTTTATAATTTTAATGATTTGGCTAGTAGACTAGCTAGCCCACTTATTACAAATTATTTGAATAAAAAAATGACTTCAACATCCTCCAAGTAACAAGATTTCCCCAAACAAAGGCACAATAGCCACTAGTGGATTTTCTGTCATCCACAGAATCATTCCGATCTACATCAATGTAAACCTCAACTTTCATATGCCCATGTTTATCAAATAGGAATCTAGTCCCAGGGGATTTTTCCAAATATCTAAGAACTTTGTATGTTGCCTCCAAGTGTGTGGTCCTAGGAGCATGCATAAACTGACTAAGGACTCCCACTACATACACAATATCAAGTCTTGTCATAGATAAGTAGAGAAGTCTGCCCACCCATCTTTGATACTGCTTTGTGTCTGCTATGGGATCATCACTGCAATCCCCAAGCGTATGGTTTACATCTATAGGAGTGTCAACATGTTTTGCTCCAAGCTTCCCCGTATCTTTCAAGAGATCTAGAATATATTTCCTCTAGGAGATGAATATACCCTAATTTGAGCGAGCAACTTCAATTCCAAGGAAATAACGTAAAGGTCCCAAATCCTTCACTTCAAATTGAGTAGCCGAGAATCTCTTCAATCTCTATATCTCTGAGTCCCGATCACCGGTGATAATAATGCCATCGACATACACAATTAAAGCTACCATTCTTCCTTGTTCTCTCTTCATAAAGAGTATGTGATTAGACTAGCACTTCTTAAAGCCCATCTATTGAACTGCCTTGTGGAACCTACTGAACTAGGCCCTTGGAGACTGTTTTAAGCCATACAGAGGTTTCTTCAGTCTACAGACTTTCTGCTCATTTCCCTTAGCACAAAAACCTAGAGGTTGGGTCATGTACACTTCTTCTAAGTCACCATTCAAAAGGCATTTTTAATGTCCAGTTGATGAAGCTCCCAATCTAGATTTGCTACTAAAGAAAAAACTCGAATAGAATTCATTTTTGTTGTAGGTGCAAAAGTTTTTGCATAATCAACTCCATACACCTATGAAAAACCTTTTGCAACTAGTCAGTCCTTGTACCTTTCCATTATGCCATCTACCTTATGTTTCACAGAGAATACCCATTTGCACCCCACAGGTTCCTTTCCCTCGGGAAGATTTACCAACTCCCATGTGCCATTTTTGTGAAGGGCATTGATCTCCTCCTTCATTGCA